GTTTACCTATTGAAAGTCAAAATGAGAGTCAAAATAAAGAAACATTTGAAATACATTTTTAAATTATGTGTTTTATGTGTTTAGGGCTCCGTTAAATATTTCGCTTTTCAAAAAGGTACCGTCGCCCAAAAAGTTTGAGAAACACTGCTCTATAATAATATGGGATCTATCCATTTAATTTACATTCTGCATTTTTGACATATAAAGTAATATATTTTGTAATCGCAGCAAGTGTCAAAACGATCTACTTTATGCAACCAGTTGCATAAAGTAGAACATTATGCAACTGATTACAAAAAGTTGATTATGTCACCAGTTACGAAATGAAAATAAATAAAACTGCCTCTTTTTTGGTTTTTAAGTTGAAAAATCGAAAAATCGAAAAATCGAAAAATCGAAAAATCGAAAAATCGAAAAATCGAAAAATCGAAAAATCGAAAAATCGAAAAATCGAAAAATCGAAAAATCGAAAAATCGAAAAATCGAAAAATCGAAAAATCGAAAAATCGAAAAATCGAAAAATCGAAAAATCGAAAAATCGAAAAATCGAAAAATCGAAAAATCGAAAAATCGAAAAATCGAAAAATCGAAAAATCGAAAAATCGAAAAGTCGAAAAATCGAAAAATCGAAAAATCGAAAAATCGAAAAATCGAAAAATCGAAAAATCGAAAAATCGAAAAATCGAAAAATCGAAAAATCGAAAAATCGAAAAATCGAAAAATCGAAAAATCGAAAAATCGAAAAATCGAAAAATCGAAAAATCGAAAAATCGAAAAATCGAAAAATCGAAAAATCGAAAAATCGTGAAATCGAGAAATCGAAAAATCGAGTAATCTAAAAATCGAAAAATCCAAATATCCCAAAAACGAAAAATCGAAAAAACCAAAAATCGAAAAAGAGGCAATGAATAGTGACATTTCACATTTAAAAATATGACATTACATTTAACAACAAAAAGAAAACAAAAAAGAAAAGCTGTAAATTGCGTTTTATTTTTAAAATAACACCGTTATTGAAAACGGCCCAGAAATGTTGGGGGTAAAATTTTGACGTACTCCTAAGGATAAAGGGTAAAAATGTTTTTTTTCAAATTTCTTGCTGGTAATGTCAAAAATTAGATCGGCAACACTGCACATGTCCCTTATTTTTATTATTACTTTGGAAAAAAAAAACGTCGTAGGGCAATCAAATACAACAATTTTCTAAAATATTTGATTGGAAGTACCTACAGAAGAATTATGGTGAGTCATTTTTCAACACAATTTTATAAATATTCAAGTCAAAATTAGAAAAAATCTTGTATGTAAATACGTTACGAAATGCCATTTTGTGTAACTCGTTCATTTTTCGGGACCTCGCTCCGCTCGTTCCGCAAATATTTACTCGTTACACAAAATAAGGCATTTCGTAACTGGTTACATAAATAACTATTAATTGACTTCCTAATATTTTAATTCATTGAACGGTATTTTCGGTAAATAATTAAATCATAAATAATTACCGGCATATAAGTACCAAAACATTTTTTTCTCTTCGAAGAGTAGGCCTGTCAAATAAACTTAAAATATTATAACGAACGAAAAGGTAACCCATTTCTAATAAAATTTAATTATTTATTTTATTTTGGTGTGATCGTACAAAAAATCTTGTGTGTAATTCGAGCAAAAAGTACTTTGGCTGTTTCGATAACTTATTGTCTCAACAGCTATTTTGTTGCAATAATTTTATAAACTTTTATTTAGGGTCGATTTCACCGTTTTGTTAAACGAAGTTTAAAATACTAAACGAAGATTAAAATGACATTTTTATATTAACAAAAACGAAGTTGAAATTACTAAATGGAGTTTAAAATGACATTTTTACATTAACAATGTCATTTTAATCTTCGTTTAATAATTTAAACTTCGTTTGAAACAACGGTGGAATCGGCCCTTAGCTAGTTATATAATGATAAAGTGTTATTGCCCTCATCATACATGAATCGTGCTAACAAATAAAGTCAAAAAAACGTCTCATAATTTTTCATCTTTTAGTTACCCAACAAAATTAGGTACTACAATACAAATATTTAAGTCCGGCCCAGAACGTCTCCCTACTCCTTCCACCCAGTTTTTCGGTTTTGGCAAAATTTGCGCAGCGACAAATGCTTCCTATGTTACCTCTAACCTTTCTAACCTCTTTGGTTGCAACAAAACTAGACAATTACGAAATGATTCTGGTCTTGAAATATTAACCCTCAATTGTTGATTCTAAATAATACAGAGTGACGATTTCATTAAGGCCATTTCTTTAAAAGTACCCTGTGGAACTTGATAAAAACCTATATTGCCGGAATGCGGAAAATGAGCAATTTCAAATTCGAAATAACATATCGGGTATTCCACTAAAGAAACATAACTTTGATATGCTGCGACATTATGAAACATCCTGTATATTACGAAATAATTTTAAAATGTGAAGCTGGACTCTATCTATAATTTGTATTTAAAACCTTTTTTTCGTATCCCGTAAAACAATGTAAATATCAACTTTCACAGTATAAGTTGATCACTCTGTATATAGACCGAAGTTTTACAAAATGAGTTGCCAGTCATTTTAAAATCAAAAAAAATTGTTATTTCTATAGGACTTAACAAGTTAAATCAATATAATTATTAAAAAGAAAACAACTTAAAATTCTAAAAAAGTAGATGCATACATTTTTTTTTTCACAAAATATCAACATTTAATCAATAACTTTAAAAAATTGTAGACTTATGAATATATTGATATTTCAAACAAGCTAGAAAATGACCGTGAATTATACCTATATTTCGTATTGGTGTGTGTCTTAATAAAATAATTACTTAGTCGCGTCAAAGTAGGACTAAAAACGCAGAAACTTCGAACTTTGGTCGGAAAGGTCTGATTGGGCTATTTTTTTCTACAAAATGTTCATTAAGACATGAGATTCAGTTCACCAAAATCTAGATGCCGCTCGGCCTCCCTCCCGTCCCAAATTTACCCCAATTGGGGGGAATTCTCGGCTTTTTTCAACAAGCCACATACTTTCTAAAACTGCAGTCACAAGCGAGGCAAATGTTCCACTCGGGGGGGTTTGAAGTGCCCTGAATCCATTATTTGGGTTAGGTCGCCTTTGCGACCTTCCCAGGGGTGTGTGACAGGGCGTCTGGGGGTCCAAAATATGAGACGTCCGTGGAAATGTGTTTGGGCTGCCAAGTTGCGTCAGGGGGGTTTAGAAGGGCGGAGATCTCAATTTCATCGAGAATTAAGCCTTTTCAAACCATCAGAGCCGTATACGCCGGGGCCCATGGGGTCTCAAATTTCATGATTATGCGGGATTGAATTTCAGGACACAGAATTGGTACGCGATAGTGTTATAAAACTACAAACTCTATATTGGACAGCCTATCATCCTGTGACCCAACCAACCAACCAATTTATTGGGGACGATTTTCAAGGTCACTGAAACAGATGATTTGTTGGAAAAAGCTGAACAAGAAAAAAGAAAAAAATTATATTATTCTGTAAGAATTGTTTTGTTGAAATGTCAAATTTTTCTATCACACCAGGCTACATTAAATATTCATGAAAAAATATAATTTCATTTCACGTTGAAGTATTTCTTTTTCAATTCCATATCCACCGCAACCGTTTTACCAGTCTCAAAAGGTTAGCTCCCCGGCCAGGTGAGTTAAATCAATTTTACGTAATGAAATCAAATCGAATTGTCCCAGGTGAACATGATAGTTTCGGCCCCTCAGGACGCTTGTTCGTGCAGCCCTGGGGCTACGTGCTTGTAACATAAAATTACACCCTTAAATATCCTCATTATGCCGTCATCAACTTTATATGAGAAAGTTGAATTTTACAAAAATTTAAATTTGGGCTCCCCTATCAGCCATATCTAGGTTCGTCAGAGACTCAAAAAGACCAAGAAGTATACTCGGTGGAGAAATTATATCAATTTTACATTTTGATATAAAATAAAATCAAATCTCATATTTTAGGCCCAGCACCCTGTTCGGACACCCCTGGATGGCTCACAGGATGACAGGATGACAGGCTGCCCAAATTTAGATTTGTTTGTTTTATAACACTAGCGCGTACCAATTCTGTGTCCTGAAATTCAATCCTGCATGATCATGTTATTTGACACCCCATGGGCCCCTTTTTATACGACCCTGAGGGTTTGAAAAGGCTTAATTCTCGATGACATTGAGATCTTCGCCCTTCTAAACCCCCCGATGCAACTTGGCAGCCGAAATACATTTCCACGGACATCTAGTATATTGGACCCCCAGTGGCCCTGTAACCCACCCCTGGGAAGATCGCAAAGGCGACCTGAGCCAAATAACGGATTCAGGGTACTTTAAAACCCCCGAGTAGAACATTTACCCCGCTTGAGACTGCAGTTTTATGAAGTATACGCCTTTTGTTGAAAAAAGCCGAGAATTCCCCCCAATTGGGGTAAATTTGGGGGGAGGGAGGCCGAGTGGCATCTAGATTTTAGTGAACTTTGAATCTCATGTCTCAATGAACATTTTGCAAAAAAACTAGCCCGATTGGACCTTTCCGACCAAAGTTCGAAGTGAAAACCTACTTTGACGCGACTAACTGCTGGTTATGTATCTTTATGGCAGATAATAATTATTTTACACAAAGATTTCTGTGTTATATATTTATTAAAAATTAAATATAAAAAAACAGTATAATGCATGTTGATCTATTACAAGGTAGCTACGGTATATTTTGACATCAAGGTTAAATCAATAAAGTTAACAGTTAATTAATAAAACATTGGCGTACATTTTTAAAGTTGTTGATATGAGGAATAGAAATAAAATTAAATATAAATATTACCATTAGTTTCGATTATTTTTAATGGATTCATTTTAAATTGGATTTTTCAGTGACTATGCCTCAATAGGCAATAGATGTAAGAATAAAAATTGCTTAAAAATTTTTTTTTACACTTTTGGTGTTTTCTCATTTTCAGAAAAGTTCTTTACTCCAGTATGTGCTTTCTTGGTCATAGAAGTTAGTGCTATAATTGGAAGAATTATGTCCAGAAAATTCTTTATAACGGTAAGTTATTTTTCTGGGATTGTAGGACTCAGATTTAAACCTAATGTTTTATAACCATTTCCAACCATCAAATTATTTTTTTTTAATTTTCTTTATGTATCATAATCAAATAAATAAAAGAAAGAAGATTTAGTGTAGGCTTTGAAAAATGTACCCCATTATTACCCCAACTTAAACGATGCCAAGAATATCGACATATTCAAAACCGAGGAGGAATCCACTAACGTCAAAATGTACCCGTATTTCGGAAATCACCCAAATAGTTTTATGTGATTTCGGTGATTTTGTCGAAAATTCCCTGTAAATTTTATAAGATGATTTTTTTGGACTATTCCCTTGTCTTTTGATCCACAAGTTGCTGCATTTACATTATTGAGCGGCGATTTCGAGTGAAAACGTATCAGTATTTTGGGAGTGGTTCACTACTCACTCAAAACTATTGCAAAAGAAAACCCATGTGTCAAATACACTGGAAAACACTCAATCCAAGATTGTAAAAGACCAGTAAGTACAGCACCTAAGTAAATCATCTAAGTGCATTACACTGTGGAGGGAGCACCTTAATTATAGATGTTGCGCCACTGTAGAAGCTATGCAAAGTAAAAGAAAAAAAACTACAAATCAACAAACCCAGTTAACCAAATGAACCGAGAAAATCTAGAGAAAACTGTCAGAAGGCAACAAACATTAATGAAGCCTTGTATACGTTATGCCCAAGTAGCAAGTAATGAAATACAACCCTATAGTAGAAAGCAGTATTGATTATATAACTTAAATGCTGCAAAACATAATGAATCAAATAAATAAACAGAAAGAATTAAACAAAAAAGTTCTAAAAAGCTGGAGAGACTAGAAAATAATAACAAAAGACAAAAGGATTTTAGAATGGAACACAAATGGACACTTAAACACTAGCAAGAGTTATTAGTGACCTTAGAGACACGACATATGGTTATATTCCTAATAGTTAAAAGGCTCTATAAAAAAATAAGAACTGAAGAGAACAAAAACAAATTAAATAGACTTACACAATAGCTATGAGAAAAGAAAAAAAAATTCATCAGCCAATAAATACCGGAGAGAGATCACATATGCCTTAAAACACTGATTACCCTATATAGAAAGCTGTCAAAAAAATAAATAAACCATCCCCGCACATACTTCCCATACCAACAGAAAATGGGATGTCGGCAACAAGTTTTCATTGCCCTGATATTCTTTCAAGCTGAGGTCACAGAACAAAACCTGTATAGACGATAAATTCCTTTCAACCATACTAGACAGCTGGACATGAAGGTATAATCTTGGTACTTCTACAAAAAGGCCAGAAGTACTGGAGGGACTTCTGTGTAAACTAATTCTAAGCTAGCATATCTCTCGGGTATGATATCATAAAGCTGGAGGACTGCAAGAGTTGTCTTAATTCCTAAACCTGGGATAAATCAGCCTAACATCATTTCTTCTAAATTGATCGATAGATATATACGGGACGATGTTCTACCGGATATATCGTTGCCAATCTGAAAAGTGTTGCGATGCAGCCATACATAGGCTATCTCAAAAGGCTTAACAAGCAATGGAAAATAAAGAAATAGCACTAAAAATCTTCCTAGATATAGAAAGAACCTTTGATTCAGCCTCACGCAATTTAATACTGGGATGTATGCATAGAAATGCGTAGAGGGCTACTGCATGACACAGTGGGTTCAGATTATGCTTAATCATATAACCACTGCCCGTAATTTCTTTAACACAACAAGAGAGGTCTCAGTTAACAAGGGATGCCCGCAGGGAACAGTTTTATCTTCACTTATGTGGACGTAGTGGTTGATGACTTCTTATGAGAGTTAAAAAGAGCAAACTTATACACGTAATCATTTACAGATAACATGAACATCGTAGTAACGGTAAATTTGCGGCTGTTGTTTCCAAAAGTATGCAGAAGGTACTAAATATCGTCGAAAGATGGTGCCTAAAAAAGGGGTTTTTCACAAACCAGACGAGGACGTCTTGTTGCATTCACAAGAAGAAGGGATTTTAAAGAAATAAAGGAGCTCTATATATGGGAACAACGTCTAAACATGGCAAAGGAAGTTAAATATCTTGGAATCACTCTTGATGACAGTCTTAGCTTCTGCAGCTATATAGAAAAAAACAACATAAAAAATGTAAGAATACTATGGGCACGTAGACGGATGGTAGGGAACACATGGGGGCTGAACACATGATGCCCTGGCTTTATACTGTGGTTATACCTTACTCATCAGTCATATGAGGGCATAAAACTAAAAGCATAACAGCTAATAGATATGATAAAAAGACTAGCCTAATAATAACAGAGGCATTTAGAACTACGCCCACTGCAGCAATGAAGCTACTGCTAGGTCTTCCTCCATTACACCTTGTGGTGGAGAAGGAGACTATAGTGACAGCATACAGGGTGTCTACTAATGGATTTGGATAAGAACTTTCGAGAAAAAGACACCACACATTGATATTAGAGAAATTAAAACAAAATACGGTCGTAAGAATGCCATCGGAAAGAACACCGATTATTCGTGACTTTCGGTATTCAAATACCAGAAAGGACCAAAAGCCGGGAAAATAGGATACTACAAAATAAATTAATCTGTTATACAGACGAAGCAGAAAAACACTACAGAAGCTGGAATTCACCATGTGAAATCAGGGGTCACTTACAACAGTCTTACTGGCTGAAGTAATAGCACTAAATGACTGTGCCAAAAAATATGCCAAATGACTCTTATAAGGTCTTTATTATGACAGAGAGTCAGGCAGATCTTAAAGCACTGAAAAGGGAAGAAGTACAATCTAAATTAATATTTGATTGCCAACAGCCTCTTCAGGCTGTAGCAGAACATAACAAGGTCACTCTTAAATGGGTGCCTGGATATGTGGGAGTGTTTGAAAACGAAAAAGCAGATCTCCTAGCCAGGAAGGAAGCCAAAAATCTCTAGTTGGACTAGAACCGACATGTGGTATTTCATACCAACATGTTAAATGGGTGCTAACGGAACAGATAAATAGAAAACATTATAGGCTCTGGTTGGAACTTCCTGGCATTAGATAGTCTAAAATATTCATGAGGGTCCATCAAAGAGCAGACAAAATCAATTGCCAAGCCTTAGAAGAAGCGAACTAAAGGCCTTCATAGGAATATTTACGAGACACTGCGACCTTAGAAGACACCTAGATCTCTTAAGGATATCTGATGACTCCCTATGTAGAATTTATGAAGGGGAGGACGAAACTTCTATTCACATACTGTGCCATTGTCGGAACCTTTAATGGAAACGATAATAGCACTTCGGAGTATAATGTCGGGAACCTAAAGAAATCGCAAAAATGCACATAAGACATATTCTTCATAAATAATAACCTGATGGGGTAGAAACCTTAAGGGGTACAATAAGCCCAGTACAAGTGTGCTTTGAACCACACCCTAAATCAGGTAGACAGGTCACTTTATTTTGACTATTTAGCTCTGCCAGGTTTTTAAGGCAGTTTTTCACCAGTCGTGCTTTGATTTCTGGTGAGAGAATTGCGTTCAGAGCTGCTTGGATAAACCTTGATCTGTGTTTTGTTCCCCTTTAAATTTTTTATTGTTGCTGGGACGTATCCAATATTCCTTTTTTTTAATGAAATAATATATTTTGCAGGAATCAAACAAATATTTGTATGTTGGATTGACTGTCTTGAGATTATTTATTAGCATACCAATTTGTATGTTATTCGATGCAGAACCAAGAAATTTTCCTGTGGTCTTCGACAAAGACTGGGAATTTATAGTTTTCATGTTCATTTTTGGATTTACGAATGGTTGGATATGGAACGTGTCTGCAATGAGTTTAAAAACGTAATTATTTTATATTTTTTTAAATTAGTTATTTAATATTTTATTTTATTATTTTTCCAATTTATTATACTCTTCACACAGTAGTCTATGAAGAGTATTATGCATTCGCTTCGTCCCTCCCTCTGTCCGTCCGATGTCACGTTTTTTGTCCGCAGGATAAGTCAAAACTGGAAAACGATATCAATTTGAACATTTCAGGAAAAATCAAGCTATATAAGAGGAAGAAGTTCCTTGATTTTGACAAAAATCTGATTTAAAATGTGGGTGTTAAGAGGGGTTTAATTTAAAACAAGTCAAATCAAAAACGAAAAGCGATAACTACATTAAATTTTTAGAAAATCAAGCTCTGTAAGAGGATGAAGTCTATTGATTCTAAAAAAATCTAAATTGAATTGAGAAGTATCAGAAAAATAGTTAACCAGTGAACAGTTTAATAATTGTTGTACGCGACGAATAATTTGGAATTCAACTGTTCCACTGGTTCTCGGACGGTTAGCATCGATTTTTAAAGAAACCCGAACAAATCTTATGAAGAGTATAATATAGAATTCCAAGCATTATACAGGGTGAGTCGGGATGAGCGCACCAAACTCTAGGAGTATATTATACACGTGAAAATAATGTAAAACAACTCATATGTTCTTATCCGATTTTCATTTGTTTTCAAGTTATGGGGTAATTAAAAATGTTCATCTAGCTTTCCACTTCTGAATTTTAACATTATCAAAGTATGCAATATGTTCAAGGCTCAAAGGCATTTGATAATTTTGACGTTTTGATGAACTGTCAGTGTACAGTGAACAGTAACTGAACGTTTAATTTCGAATTTATGTGATTGTTAGTGCAAAATGCTAGATACTTATTCAAATTTAGAATATGCAAATATGGTGTTTGTTTATGGTTTCTGTAATGGAAATGCTACAGCTGCTGCTGAAGAATATCGTCAACGTTTTCCACACCGAAGACATCCTGATAAAAACGTATTTATTAGAGTTTTCAAAAAATTGTGCGAGACTGGTAAGCTTTCATAACATCTGAACGCGCTACTCGACAAGGTTCTGTAGAAGTAGAAAATATTCTGCATCAATTAAAAGAAGATGCAACTACAAGCTCACGGAGAATTGCCACTCAATTGGTAATTCCACAAAAAAGAGTGATAAACACACTCCACGAGCAAGGCTTATATCCGTATCACGTTCAGAGAGTACAGCACCTAGAGCCACAGGATTACGCTAACCGTATGGAGTTTTGTCGGTGGATAAATAATAATCATCGTGTTGTATCGAGTATACTCTTTACGCATGAAGCTACATTTACCCGTGATGGCATTAATAATACTCGTAACTATCATGTATGGTCAGACGAAAATCCCCACGCAACAGTCGAAAGCAATTTTCAACATCGGTTTTCTATAAACGTGTGGTGTGGTATGGTTGACAGTTATTTAATTGGCCCTTTCATTTTTGAGAATCGTCTCACAGGAGACAACTACCTCAATTTTTTACAAAATGAATTACAAGGCCTGCTAGAGGATGTTCCTGTAACTATTAGAATGCAGATGTAATATCAGCACGATGGAGCTCCTGCACATGTCGCTCGTCTGGTCAAGCAACTTTTGGACGAACGTTTTGCAGGGCGTTGGATTGATCGTGGAGGTCCTAATTATTGGCCTGCAAGATCTCCAGACCTCACACCATTAGATTTTTGTTTATGGGGCTGGATGAAAAATGAAGTCTACAAAATAAAAGTGGACACACGTGATGCACTAATTAGACGAATTGAGAATACTGCAGCCCATATTAAAGAAGAAAGAAATAAATCAATTAGAGAGCAACAAACGCTCTTCGTCGACAAAGCAGAAAATGTTTAGAAGTCAATGGCGGTATTTTTGAATATTTATTGAAAGAACGCTATGATTAAGATAATTTTTATGTGTAAATTTGTTTATTTGTTAATATGCTATAACTTGAAAACAAATGAAAATCGGATAAGAACATATGAGTTTTTTCACATTATTTTCACGCGTATAATATACTCCTAGAGTTTGGTGCGCTCCTCCTAACTCACCCTGTATATCTTCATTCTAGTTTAATTTTATTATTTAATATTTTTCTAACACTTAACTGTCTAACCTACAAGAGCCATAAAGATTCAATGTTTCAACTTAAAATCCATTTGATTACAAAAATGTTGAACATAATTTAATGTGATTTGTCTAATTGACATGTACTTCAAGTTTACCATAGTCTAAATATCATTTAAAGTTAAACAAGTATATAAATTTAAACAAGCGTTCTTGAAAATGGCTGAGTGTTATATATTCAATATTACTATAGCATAATATATTTCAAATTCCAAATATTGTCCATGTTTAAAGTAAATCAAGCAAAAATAAGTTCCTGTTAATTTTTTGTAGTTTTCGTGAACCACATTGAACTAATACTTTTTCTAATAAAACAATTATTGTTTAATACCGGTATGTAGATAATAATATTATACAGGGTGATTCATTACGAATTGGAAATATTTCAACTTTAGATTTTTGAGCTCAAATTATAAGGATTTAACCCAAACCACCTCGATAAAATGTGTCTCCATTCTGAGTTACAGGGTGTTTTGTTTAAAAATTTAAAAATTATTTCTGTCCAGTACTTTAAAACTATTTGACGTATTATTATCATATTTGGCGGGAAGTGTAGATACTATACACCCTACTACATTATGTTAAATAAACGTATTTTTTTGTTAGAAGATTGTTTAGCGAAAGAATGAATAAACTTATTGAGGTAAACCAGGGGTCACATTGAACATTTGTTATTAAAGGTTTTTTAAGTATTGTTCTTTGTGCTTTTTGATATTTTTTTTAATTCAAATTGTTCCATTTTTTAGATTATTTGTTTTTAATTATTTAATCCATGTTAACTTGGTTACTCACTCTCTGTGAAATAAATGGGCTCTAGGATTTAATTACTGGTTCTATTAGAAGAAACAAAAATACAAAAAATTGTGCCACTCGGCAATACAAAGAGTTTACAATAATAATTTAAAGTTGACTCAATTAATGTAAAACAAAATAGTTTTGCAGCTTTATGTTTAACTTAAAATATCTCGAGGAATAATAACTTTATCGCTATGAAGAAAGAGTACAATATTTACGTAGTAAGTATTGGAGAATCGAAAAATTTTGATAAAATTGCAATTCCACCAGTGGCGTAGAATTTGGGAAGGATTAACCAGTCACTTGTCCCTGTCGTACGCCTCTGATGGTAGCCAGAAACGTTAATTTAATATAATTTAGAAGGGTGTATAGTATCTACACTTCCCGCCAAATATGACAATAATACGTCAAATAGTTTTAAAGTACAGAAATAAATTTTAAATTTTTAAACAAAACACCCTGTAACTCAGAATGGAGACACATTTTATCTAGGTGAGTTGGGTTAAATCTACGTAATTTAAGCTCAGGATTCTATAGTTAAAATATTTCTAATTAGTTATGAATCACCCTGTATACTTAATTTAAAAATGAACAATAAAGAAAAAGATAAAACTCAAAGTCCGTGTCACAGGACCAAAGAACGACAATTTTCCTTTCAAAAACAACTACTTATTTAGCTGATACCGCAACAGGCATTGTTTTATATTTAGAGGTGAACAGCAAAGATAGAATATAATTAAATTTTTAACACTTTAACTTAGTTTTTGCTTTCTAAGAGAAAGTAATTCTTGAATCGGTTTCGTCCTTAATAGGACTCTTCGCAAGAAAAAGACAATCTCGATTTCAATCTCCAATGGAGTCTGATGGCGACACAGAATTCACTTGTACTAGTAGAGTGTGTAGATATTCAATAAGCACAAATGGCATTGTAATCTGCACTTAAGAAGCAAAATCAAAGCTCTAGTTCTGTAGATCAGGACGAAATACTAAGTAGACCTGGCAATTATTGAAGGAAAGAAAATAAAATGAATTATTAATTATTAAAGTTAGTAAATTTGACTTGTTGTAGATGTATTAGATTGATCAACATGTTGAAAACTCTGATGTAATTTGTTTTAATAACCAACTATAATCCACAGATAACCTTATTTTGTCTAGATTGACTTCGTAGTGACTCCTCCATACGTAATACTTCCTTTCCTTATAAATCCTCAATATCCAGTCTTTAGTTGTTTATTTTTGTACTCAATTTATATCATTTATTATATACATACCGTAACATAACCTTAAAATTTATTGGCATTTTAAGTCAAAGTCTTGTTCATTTTTCATCCCTGTTTTCTTGTCATTAATAGCCCCAACATCCTGTCAAATATTCTTTGTCTTTAAATACTCATGAATGTATTGTTATGTTCATACTTTTAAAAATTGATATTGTTCAGATTTTAGTGTTATGGTACCTGTCATCTATCATCTGTTGTTGATTTTGAGTATCTTTATCCCTTTGAATGTATCGTTTTGTTAACGTATGACCAGATTGTCATAAAACCACAGAAATAAGAAACACTTTTTATTTTAATTTTTTTTATTTTAGTTTGGTGCCAAAAAAACAAGAGGTTGCTTTTAAGCTACTGGCTCTGACAATTTCGGTATTTAGTGCTATCACAGTAGCTAATGGCTTATTGGCTGTCAAAGTACTATTAATTTAAATACCAAATATATGTATATTAATTTAATTTGTAAATATATATTAATTTTATATTTACATTGTTTTTTTTTTGTTTTTTACATTGTTTTTTTTTTGTTTTCTAAATATACAATTTTATTTGACCTGGGGTTATCTTTTGCATATCAATGTACTTTGTTCTAACATTCACAAATTTTATAATACCTCGTACCTGATAAAAACAAAATTTGCATTTAATTTGTTTAATATGTACGGCAGGATCACTTTGTAAAAAAATGCGTTTGACTTAGTAAGAGTGAGATGATGAAGAAAAGGTACGTAATATTATTTTCTTGAAATTACAAGTTACAATTTTATATGTTTTGAATGCTTTTCTACCTAAATCGTTATTGATTATATATTTAGGATTAATTTTGGATAAATTAATAAAACTCAATAGACACAATCACAAACAGAGAGTGATATTTGCAAGGATACTCATTAAAATTAAGTAAATACCCTGAAGAACTTTGAAACATGTTTAGAATGTGAATAGTTTGAAGATCATGCTAATTATTTCTTACCAATTTTAACATACTAATATTATATACATTTTATATTTCTTTACTTGATGCAAGAAATAATTTAAAAAATTTTCTGAACAAGTAATTCAGCAACCCAACAATTTCATTAATTTAAAATTTACTAATATTTTAGATTTTATAGGATTTAACTGTTTAAGTTATATTTGCTTTCCCCATGCCAAAAATTTATAAAAATTTATAAAAAAATATCCTCTTGGTAATAAATTACAATCACGGGATTCGTCAAAGTTTACCAGAGTGATGCATTTTAATGGTCCTTGTGTGTCAGTCAAAATAAAAATTTAAGTGGTTCAGGATTAATCCTAACTAATTTTACTTCATAAACACCCCATATTTAAACAACAGTTATTTTTTATTATGATTTTCAGCGTTAACTATTATCAATCTGCCACATATGAAGACGACAGAAGAAAATCTTCATTAGAACAAAAAGTTCCACAGGATCCTTATTTTGTAGTGTACATCACGTGTTTTCTTTTGGGATTTATGAATGTTGTGCCAATATTCTTTTTTAATGCAGCTGCTGGGGCGAGAAAACAATGATTCTTAACTAATTAGGTAAACAATATAAACCAATCATAGACTGTTCTAATGGGGCTATTTAGTTCAATTTTCTCACCAAGTTCAAGTAGAAATTATTCCCAGTCTACACGACTATTCTTAATGTCATATAAATATGGTAGGTATGGTAGAACTGTTCTACAGAACAATTTAATAGTGTGGGTGTACCACAAGGTTCCATGTTAAAACCGATTTCGTATATTCTCTATGTTAATGAGTATATTCCTTAGATTAAAGAGATCGAAGATGTAACATTGCACACTGCGCATGTTGTCTATTTTAACCCCAAGTAACCCACCAATTAAAAATCATTGTTTCACGACGCCACCCGAATTGCTCCGATATTTATATTCAACGCGCTCACCTCCTCCTGAGTTCAATTACCATTGACAGCTGTTTTTTGAATTTTTTGTTTGTGTTTTAGCAATTTAAAGTGTTCTAGTTATTCAATTTCAAGTTGAAAATGCCACGATGTATCGTTTAAAATTGTATATACAAATAATATTAGTGCCAATGTTATGAAAAATATGAAATATTTTCGTTTTCAGCGGTAAATATTTATTAACGTTTTCACATAAATCCGCCATGATCCTGTGGGTTGAATACTTCAGATCCGTATTAAGGGGTTTCAATAAATTGTAAGCATCAAATACATATTTTAGAAAACAGATTTCACAATACTTCCTTAAATTTACAAAAGGGGAAAATTTTGAACAATTAATTTAAATAAGAACTAAATAGGCATTGTTGCTAACGAAATTTTGATTTTAAAAAGTAGTTTTATAAGAATATTTACTAAAGGTGGTGTTTAGCCCTTTTTGGTAAATAAATAAGAAGTAAAGAAGCATAGTTGCTAGCAAAATTTTATTTTTATAGGGTATTTTTATAAGAATATTAGATGAATTACAGGATGACCTGCCTAAAATTTCAAAGTTCATCTTATTTGAATTAAATCAGAAGTGACATTTAAATCTTAAGTCTTTTTTTTTGTTTTAGCAGCGTCAATTGCTTAGATTATTAGCTGCTTTTTGCTCTGTTTTTAACTCCGTGGGTAATTATTATCCTAAATTAGTGTAAGTATTTGTTTGTTTATACATTTTTAAACATATTAATTCGTTTTATGTATACTAGTGCTCTAGTGTTTTCGTTGTGTTCGCCTAATGGGATTTCACCTTCGGGGAAAAGGACTCTTCTGATGTTGGCGTATTGCTGGCAGGTGAAGACATGATCTATAGTTAATCTTCTATTACATGTACATCTTGGTCTGTCAGCTCCGATGAGCAGGTGTGAATGTGTAAGATGGGTATGACCTATGCAAAGTCGACACAGTATAACCTGTTCTCTTCGATTCATTATCGAAGGGTAAGTCCATTTAGTTGTTTTTGTTTTCCACGTTTTGAGATCTCCTTCATAATTGTTCCATCTGCTTTGCCATTCAGCGTATATTTTGTGTTTAATTTCTTTAATTTTGTCGTCGTGAGTATTTAAATTTGCCGCAATTTTCGCTGCGCTATCGGCTTCTTCATTGCCCAATATTCCCATGTGGCTTTGAATTCATATTAAATGCACGTTTGTACCGATTAATGTTAAATGCGTTAACAACTCTAAAATTTGTTTTGGAAGGTAGCTATTAGTGAGCGTTTTATTTATACTTGTCAAAGCGCTTAACGAATCTGTACATATTAGACATTTCTTTAGTGGTGAAAATAAAATCAAGAGAAGGGCTTGCCAGATTGCGTATACCTCTGCAGTATAAACACTGCAGTTTATATCAAGAGACCACATATAGGTCTCATTATTATGTACAAATGATGCCCCAACCCCTTAAGTCTTAAAACAGAGTAAAATATGATCTGGTATAAGCAAAAAAATACTAAAGTTACGGGAGTTAGTCACATTGTTAATAAAATAATGTTACATTATCAACCTCCAAACAACTAGAAAAAAAAATTTTCGTTTACTAAAAAAATCTAAATTTTAGCAATATTATGGAAATCGATTTACCCGTAATTTTCAATAAATTATTTTCGTTTTTTTAAGGAAATTTAAAGGAAATACAAAAAGAAACTAGATTTATTTAAAATAGTCGATTTTTTTAGAAAAATCGATCTATCATTTAATCGGCTTTTTTAATTAATCGATTATTTTCGATTAACCGAATATTTACGATTAATCATTTATTTTCAATTATTTAATGGTAGCTAGATCATTACTTTCTAATACGAAAATGGATAAAATATTCTGGGCTGAAGCCATAAACACAGTTACTTATGTCATAAACCGTACAGACACAAGTTCGGTAAATGGAATTACACCTATTGAACTTTATTATGGTACAGTTCATCAAATTTCTAGAGGTGTTCGACGCCCAGACAGAGAACGCGCTACGTGTGACTAAGATAGCTATTGTACAGTATGCTAAACAAGTTATTTTAAATAGTTTTTAATATTTTTAGGTAATTAAATTTTAAAAGTGTGGAATAGTTTAGGGATTAAATTGGTCTGATTGGACTTTCTTAGAACGTTTTTAAAAGCAGCTAAAGATAGTATGTAGAATTGAAAATAATTATTATGCCATAAAAGGTGTTTTGGAATTCCTTCAACCTTTTGAAATTGAGTCAGAAAATATAAATTTTATAGGATAGCGGAAAATACCTATAATTTTTTTGTATGCCTTTGTAAATCGTGGAAATAGTTTATATTTTATTTCTACCTTATTAAGGAAAATGGTACCTATTATTAATAACGGTTGTTTCTGAAACATTACTAAAATTTTCGAAATTTTGTTTTTCTACAAAATAATAAACTATACTATTTAGAAAAAAATTTATTTCTCTTATAATTTTATAAAAAATAACAGGGGATTATTTACATTTCTTGATCTATTAAACAAAACGATAAATTATCTCGACGAATGACACCATGTTCTAGTACGGAAGCTAGCTTTACATTTTTGTTGGTGGTTTCATGGGTTTCATATCAATTTTTTGTAATTGTAGTTTACACGTACATATACCTCTTAACACTTGTTTGCTTTATTAAAAAAGTGTGTTGTTGTGATTTACGTCGAAATAAGTCAAAAACAACTTGAAACCCCATATAAAATCAAAAAGGAGAAACGGAAAAAAATTGAGCCTGTAAATGAACACAACTCAGAAACAAAAATAGCTATCTAATAATAAAAAAATAAAATTTGATTCTTGTGCAGCTTCATCTATATCATTAACTGTTTTTGGTTTTTTAATGGTTTTTCTTGGTGATGAAAATTCCGATATCTCACGGTTGTCGATTCTTTTTTTCTCTCCAGAAATGCGGACGACAGTGTTTTTAGATACTCCTGTGGCTGCAGCAACACGATCATTTACATTTTTAAATGGTATTGAAGGTGAATTAAAGTTTCCTTCTCTTCTCATAAACTCTATAACATTGGCTATTATTTCGCGAGATTGACTGTTAATCACGCGGCCTCTTAATTTGCTATTAAACTCCATACTTAGGTTCTATTAAACTGTAATGAGCAAAAAACACAAACGAAAATAAAAGAAATGTTTTAGCGAAATTTACATCTGACATTTACGTCTGAATGAAATAGTGAAATACTTGATGCGCAGAGTGTACTTTCATTCCGTAAATCCGTCGGGATGCCTGTCAGTAATGCTTTCTCTGTCTAGCCGTCGAAAGCCTCTAGAAATTTGATGAACTGTAAGAAACCAACAATTGACAATTTTCAGGTATTTGGTAGTGATGTATACGTTCACATACCAAAAGAAAAACGTCAAAAACTTGATTCAAAGAGCATAAAAGGAATATTTGTTGGTTACTCAGATGCAACAAAACGTTTTAGAATTTACTTACCAAAAAAACATTCAGTAGATATTTTTCGATATGTAATTTTCAAGAAAGAAGTCATACCAGCAGTTACCAGTTAAACTAATACCATATTTGAAGAAAATGAGGGAGAAGCAACCACAAATTTGAAAGAAAATGAAAAACTGGAACCAAACAAAATTTTGACGAGGAAGATATTTCAGAAGAAACTTCTTCCGAGTCTAGAGAATTACGAGATCGAAGATATATTAAAAAACCTGAAAAACTAAATGATTGTTTGCTATTTGGCAGAAGAAGAAAGTTTAGATTACAACTAAGCAATTCAAGATAAAAACTGGAGAAAGGCCATGGAAGAAGAATTAAATGCTTTGCACAAAAACCAAACCTGGACCTTGGTGGATTTACTTCCTGGTCGAAATATCATAACCAACAAGTGGGTCTTCAGGAAGAAAAATGGTGATATCTACAAGGCACGGTTAGTAGCGAAGGGATATTCACAAAAATATGGCCGAGATTACACAGACATTTTCAGTCCAGTAGCTCAATACAAATCTATAAGAATGGTACTAGGAATAGCTGCACATGAGAATCTGCATTTAGCTCAGTTCGATGTCAAAACGGCTTTCCTAAATGGAGACTTAGAAGAGGAAATATATATGCAACAACCAGTTGGTTTTGAAGACAACTCTGAAAAAAGTATGTCTACTTAAACGTAGTCTATATGGACTAAAACAGGCTCCCCGCTGTTGGAATCAAAAATTTGTAAATATTTTAAATGATTTTAACCTAGATCAGACACTATCAGATCTATGCGTATTTGTAAAACATGGACCTGAAAAACTAGTTTCAGTAATCTATGTAGATGATGTATTATTGCCTCAAGAAATGTTACAGACATTGAAGAGTTATTAAACTACTTAGAAAAGAAGATTGAAATTAAAAAGGAACCGCTAGAAAGATTCTTGGGCATGGAGATTAAAAGAGAACTAAATGAATCTATATCAATTAGCCAACAGAATAACATTAAAAAAATTTAACATGGAAAATTGCAATTCTGTATCCACACCAGGACCTACACAAGATCTAAATGAACCAATCAAAAGCGTTAAAGTACCATACAGGGAGGCCATAGAAAATCTATTTTTAGCATCAGTCATCAGGCCAGATATATCTTTTGCTAACATTCAATTGAGCAGGTTCATGGAAAATCCTAAAAGTATTCACTGGGAGGGAGTCAAAAAAATCTTACGCTACTTACAAGGTTCAAGGAATTTTACATTAAAATTCGACACAAATATTTGGAGGGAGATCTCTTCACAGCCTATAGTGACTCAGATTTTGCTGGGGATACCAAAACTAGAAAATCTACTTTTGGATTCGTGTTAACCTTCAGTAAAACTGCTATTGATTGGTTCTCACGAAGACAATCAGTCACAATATTATCAACTGCAGAAGCTAAGTACGTTGCATCTTCCGAGGCTATCAAAGAAGTAATTGTAATGTCTAATTTAGCTAAAGAACTTAGCTTACTAAAAGGTCCTATGAAATTAAAAATTGATAATAAAAGTGCAATCAGACTGGTTAATGATGAAACCGCTCAAAAACGAACAAAACATATTGATGTTAAATACCACTTTATCAAAGATGCACTTGGGAAGTATATAAATGTGGAATACATAAACACTGATCTACAATTAGCAGATCTATTTACGAAGTCGCTAATGAAGAATAAATTTCATTTTTTAGCTAGTATGCTGAATGTTAAAGGAGTGTTGAAAAAGTCAATAACATTTTAACATTCAGTATATTATTTTTTATTTTTAATGTTAATTTAATCAAGGTTGTGAGTTGTCAATCTAAGGTTAAAATATAATTTTCTATAAAGTTATTTTGAATTTTATTTCAAATACCAAGAAGGGGCAATTGATATCCAAATATTAGATTCACACTACAATATTTACAAACTGTCCACGTCTACTGTCTGTCTGCAAACGTCGAATTGGCTGTCAAAGTACTATTAATTTAAATACCAAATAATATGTACATTAATTTAATTTGTAAATATATATTAATTTTATATTTAACTGGTTTCTTTGTGTTTTTTACTTTCCTATCTGTATACAGATATAAGGAAAGTATAGGAATCATGATTTTTTTCGACCTCGAGTTTTCGACGGATTTTTACGTTTTGAGGTCCCCTGAATCCGTTTAGACTATTTTCGCGATGATGTCTGTGTGTGTGTGTGTGTGTGTGTGTGTGTGTGTGTGTGTGTGTGTGTGTGTGTGTGTGTGTGTGTGTGTGTGTGTGTGTGTGTGTCTGTGTGTCTGTGTGTCTGTGTGTGTGTGTGTGTGTGTCTGTATAACGCATAACTCATGAACCGATAAACAGAAAAACACCAAATTTTAAACTTAAGCTTTGTTTCAGCGTCCAATGAGCTGATTAGATTTTGGGCAGTGTCGCAACATCTGGGGGGGTACTTTATAGGTGGTCATTTTTATATTTTATGGAATATATCTGTTATTTACGTTAAGAGAAGAAAATTCTTCAAATAAAAGTTACTTCTAATATAATTATCTATAATTTTTATTTTATGCAAAATTTTCCTAAAATGGTCCGTATTCGAGAAATTTGACAAAATGTAAAAAACATAATTTTTTATAAAAATTGTTCAAATAAAAGTTGTTTGTAATATAATTCTCTATAATTTTTGTCCCATACATAATTTCTCTAAAATGGACCGTATTCGAAATATTTGAGAAAATGTGTAAATTTCGAAATTTGAAGAAAACTCAAAAACGGATAAAGGAAAAAACATTAAATTTTAAACTTAAGGTTTATTTCGGCCTGACGTGAAATGATTAGATTTTGGACAAAGTCGGAACATCTGGGGGGTACTTTATGAGAGGCCGTTTTTATATTTTATAGAATATATCTGTTATTTATGTTTGGAGAAGAAAATTGTTCAAATAAAAGTTACTTCTAATATTATTATCTATAATTTTTGTTTTATGTCAAAATTTCCTGAAATGGTCCGTATTCGAGAAATTTGACAAAATGTGCAAAATTCTGATTTTTATGAAAATTGTTGAACTAAAAGTTGTTTGCGATATCGATTTCTATAATTTTTGTTTATACATGATTTTTCTAAAATGGACCGTAATGGAAAAGTGCTAAATTTAAATTTTTCTGTATTTTCGTTTTCAATGAATATCTATAGAAAAATGTTTCGAGGTAGATGTATGTGTAAAATGTATATATTTAGTTTATCCTCTAAACATTTATAGAGATGCTGCAATAGGTTGTACAAAATAACCGGAAAATGCCTATAATAACTAGATAGGAAAGTCATGTGTTGGACACATCAGATTTTTAAATATACAATTTTATTTGATCTTTAAATATCGATATAATTAGTAATATTTTATTAACAATGGGGTTATCTTTTGCATATCAATGTGTTTTGTTCTAACATTCCTAAATTTTATCATTCCTATCGTATCTGATAAAAACAAAATTTGCATTAAATTTGTTTAGTATGTACCGCAAGATCACTTTATGAGAAAATGCATTTGATTTAGTAAGAGTGATTATGAGATGATGGCACAGGAGGCTGAGATTGGAAGAAAAGGTACGTAATATTATTTTCTTGTAATTACAAATTACAATTTTATATTTTTTGATTGCTTTTATACCTAAATCGTCAGTAATAAAATATTTAAGATTAATTTTGGATATATTATTAAGAAAATTCAATAGACACAATCACCAACAAAGAGTGACATTTGCAGGAACATTCAATATATTTTAGTAAATACCCTGAAAAACTTTGAGACATGTTTAGAATGTGTATAGTTTGAAGATCATGATAATTACACAAGAATAAATAATAACCAGAAGGATATATCTCATTTAATTCCTTTGTAGTTGATGCCGACGAGCTATGACCTCGTCTTATAGTTATTACTTGTATTCCATAGGCGCACCGAAAAAAAGGTCAGGAAAATAAAAAATATATTGGGTAGCTATTGTTTTGTTTTTTAAGTTCATACATTACAAATATAGGTAAGTAAAAGATTTATATAATTAAAAAAATATTTACTTATCTTTCCAAATGACAACCTTTTTGTCTTTTATAGTTTTAAAATTTCGGTTAATACATTTAAGAGTATAAAATATTCTTACTCTACCGAATAATTTTATTAAATAATTATGTGGAAATTTTTCACATGGATGTGAAAAACTTGTATTTTTACAAATACTTTGAAACGTATCTATTACATTTTTGTGTATAATAATAGTTTCAAAATTTATTTGAAATATTACCTTTAAACAGGAGATACATTTTACAAAATTGGAGCTTTATAATAACAAAATAAAGAGATATCGTCTAAATTTTGATAGGCTTTTGAATATTCCTCGCAAATTGTACAAGAATGTATAGATAGCCATTTTTTCATTAGGTAACTTGCAAAATACCTTTATTTCTAACGTGGACTCTTTTTGATAACTGCTATCAATTTCTAGCAAATTTAATGTATGAGGATGTGTATGACCTACGAATGAATTTGTATCCTCTTTAATGACATCAGATATTCGCAGACGCATATTATCCATGTCATTCTCGCAGTTTTGAGTTCCTCATTTAGTAGCTTTACACAGAACAATTTTCTAAAGGTTCTTTGCAATTGAATGGCTATTGGATTAGCACAATTATTATTTTGCTGTCTTTTAAGACCAAACAAATTTTCTAACGGATCTTGGTTTAAACGGCTAGTAAAAAAAAACTTGACGTTTTTTGTTTAAAGAAAATCCCATAAATGAAGAATGGAGCTAATTGTTATTTTAAAACTTGTTATAAACTTAATTTTTTTAGTTACATCCTCGCCTAGGTTATTAAACACTTTTAAGTTTTCCAACAGCAATAACATCTCATTTAAAAATGTCAGTTGAAAGTCGAGAAGCTTAAACGCCAAATTATATTTCTTTCCGTCTGATGTTTTTGATGATTTTATCAATAAAATTAGCAGTTGCCTGGGCTTCATTAGACAAGTTACCTAATTCGACGTACACATTTAAAGCCACTGAAACTGTAAGACTAAATACCTGACTTGCATATTTTACCTTAATTTTTTTTAAATTACTAGGGAATATATGCGAATCTGTTACTTTAGGCGCTGATCTAACGACTTATTAATATTATAAAATATTATATTATAATATATAACCAAGAAACTATTTTATTAGAAACAAGAAAAGTATGTCTCAGTAACATGTTTCTCATAGTCTTTATCGTCAAAAATAAAATAAGGTCTCCCGGGGGTATTTGCAAAAAGTTTTTACACAGAATAATATTGGAGCCTATATCACTTACGGTAACAATAATGTTCAGTCCAATATTCCTTAACTTTTTAATAGCATCAAAAACTGTATAGTTTAACTCTAAACCAGGTCATGTACTACCTATTATAAAAAAATAACTCAAAGGTTGCTTCCAAGTAGAGAAAATCCCCCTGACCAACAAGACGGTGGCTGTTCTTGCTGGTTTAAATACTCTTTTCCCATTGCCGGGATCTTCCACGCCTACAACATAATCCGCACTACGGTTAAAAAAAATTTTGCCTTTATGCTTATCTCATCCACACACAGTACACAATATGTGTCCATTTCATTAAAATTGTCAGCTTTAATTTTAAGTGTTTTGAACACATTGGAGACTTCCAAACCTGGTGGGATGTCTATCTAATGAGATTCTAAGGGATTGCGACCCAGGTAGGCAAAATAATTTAGTTAGAAGTGTTTTATAAACCTTTGGGTCAGAGAAATATAGTGATAAAAACTTAAATTTAAATTTGTCCGAATACCTTCGACCTTTAGCTGATTTTATGCTTTGAGTAATCTGAACATTAATAAATTCTGCGAGTTCTTTGGATGGGCATTGTACTAACTTTTCTTGAAGCTTCTTTTCAAGATTGTTACATTTATTAAGAAGGACCTGGTTGTCTCTTTTCAGCGCTTTGTTCTCAAATTTCAGGGCATTGTTGATCTCCCTTAGTTTTTCCTTTCTTGGGCTTTGAAAAGTTAGTTCCTCAGATGTTTGGACACTCTGTGAAGGAAAACGTATTGGAGACCGCTGAATCGATTCTGCCTTATCAAAAGAGTTGCCAATGGTTGAAGCTGATGGTTCCAAAAGCTGATATAAAATACTCGTACATGGCCCTTGAGAGGTTTTAGTGCTAAAAGTCGATGTACTTGGAACTGCCTCGTCAATGATGTCACTTGAAACGAATTTGAGTGGAACAGCATCTTTTCGCAGTATTTATCTCTTTCCTTTTTGGAACATCCCCAGAGAAAAATGAACAAATTCTATAGCTCTTGTGGAGAGTGTCTACTTTGTATAATAAATCTGGTCTATAACATGCTAAGAGCCAAGATTTCGCTCTGAAAAAAGATTTACACTTATTTTTTATTTTGTTTCACCTGATCAGACTTCCATTGTCTGGAATAGAATATAAATTTTGGGATAACTAATAAAGCTCAGGAGATAAGCACTTAAAAAACAAAATATGGATGCAAATGTGGATGCAAATATGCACAAAAAACAGTCAAAATATGACCGGTGTGAAGTTAGCAGCCACTTTCCAGCAGCCCGTTTACCGGAAACACCCGAGTTACCAGTGGCGTCGAAATGTATTTTTCTGTGAAGTTAACGGTGTATTGAAATAAAATTACTACTAAATTTTTAAGAAACAAATAAAAAGTGTTTAGAGAAAGGATTAAGGGGTAAACTGAAATAAAAATCCAATAAAAAAATTCATTAAAAAATCAATTGTTCTATAAAGATAACAGAATATTAAAATAAAAATAGTGTCAAATTGTTAAAAACTATAAAACACAACCTAAAAAAATTATCAAAATCACTTAGGAAGGAGATGAGGGGGTCAAATTAAATAAAATTCCATTAAAAATCTATTTAAAAATTAATTTGTCTATGAAGACAATTGGGTATTGAAATAAAATTAGTTCCAAATTGTTAGAAACTATAATATACAACCTAAAAAAATTAACAAAATTACTTAGGAAGGGGATGAGGGGGTCAAATTAAATAAAATTCCATTAAAAATCTATTTAAAAATTAATTTTCCTATGAAGACAATTGGGTATTGAAATACAGTTAGTGCCAAATTATTAGAAACTATAAAATACAACCTAAAAAAATTACCAAAATCACTTAGGAAGGGGATGAGGGGGTCAAATTAAATAAAATTCCATTAAAAATCTATTTAAAAATTAATTTGTCTATGAAGACAATTGGGTATTGAAATAAAATTAGTGCCAAATTGTTAGAAACTATAATATACAACCTAAAAAAATTAACAAAATTACTTAGGAAGGGGATGAGGGGGTCAAATTAAATAAAATTCCAATAAAAATCTATTTAAAAATTAATTTTCCTATGAAGACAATTGGGTATTGAAATACAGTTAGTGCCAAATTATTAGAAACTATAAAATACAACCTAAAAAAATTACCAAAATCACTTAGGAAGGGGATGAGGGGGTCAAATTAAATAAAATTCCATTAAAAATCTATTTAAAAATTAATTTGCCTATGAAGACAATTGGGTATTGAAATAAAGTTAGTGCCAAATTGTTAGAAACTATAATATCGTCATTTTACTTTTAAAACCTCGTAAGTCCGCTTTTTTCAAAAACGAGATTTTAGCGAATATCGATTTTAAATCCAGCTCTACATCTCCCAGTATTACCTTTGAAACCTCCTTATGCTATATCGCCATCTATGATTATTTTTTTAAAACACGCATGTCAAAATTGTCTTAATCTTTTACTTTCAAATCCTCGTAAGTCTGCATTTTGTTCGACAACGCCCAACATTTCAGTTAGTTGTTGTTTCAATTGAATATTTTAATTCCAAATCATGGAAAATTCATCCAGTTCTAAGGTAAGTAATGTTTTTTACATTTAGATTAAATAAATATATTTAGAAAAAAATTCTAATTAGTTCAGTTTATTTGATTTTATTAGCAAATGTCAAAGTTATGGCGCTAATTAGACATACGAGGTTTTAATAAACATCGTAACGATTTTTTTACAGCGATTTTCAGACATAAGAGGTTTTACTAAAATAAAACATTTTATTTTTTTCTGCTTTTATAAATAATTAAGTAAAAAGAATCAAATAAACAAAACAAAAAGCCTTCTATATTTTTTTTATAAAATAACATTTTAATTGTTTTCAGATTTTGAAAGTAAGTACTTTAAGTGCAAGGAGTAAGCGAATTCTCTCATTACTTAACAAATCCGAAGAAAATGTGGCTTTACATGGATTACAGCCCAATTCCATTCAAAGTTTGGAAAAAGAGGATCCAGAAGATGGTATTTTGATACAGCCTGCTCACAGTTCTAAGGAAATTTTCAAAGATATCAGTCATATAGATCAGAGCTCTAAAGAGAGTGAACATCTTCAAGTTCTTCTTTGCTCTACTGAGGAATACGAAGTGGCGGCTGATGGCACGCTAGCAACAGTAACAAGTCCTTATGACAATGAAGCTGGGGATTTAGAACATGATGCAGCGGAAGCAGCATTATCTTCTATAACTATTGAAAATAA